AATCCCATCTGCATCTTTCGGACTTTACCTAGTCTTCTTTTTTTCCTCTCCCTGTTTTCCAGTCTCCCAGTAGCCAGAGGGCACAATCACACAACCAGAAAGTCAATCAGGAAGCTTATTAAACATGACACTCGCTGAGCGCACTCTATATGGATGAAGGATATAGGCTGTAAGGTCTACCTGCCAATTAGGAGAATAAAATCAATCATAGCAGTCAATGTAAACTCTTTCCCACTTTTTCCATCCCTTCTTCTCACTTTGTGCTTCTTCATTTCCTGTGCTCACAAAACCCTCTGGCCTTCACTGAAAATATTCTCTACCATAAATGCCAGTACTGCTGTTGCACACATTCATGCACAGCTCACTACAGAATAAACAAGGAAACACAGTCCCCGTCTACACAGGCATGCAGACACACACACACAGAGAGAGACTACTACACTCCAGAAAGCTATTCATCACAATTTAGCCACACCATTAGACAAAGAGAGCCAATAACACCCTCAATAGAATACCATCCCCCCCCCCCAAAAAAAAGAACTAAACAAAAAAGAAAAAAACCCACAGCCACACACTTTCTCCTCCATGACACTCATTTTCCTCTCCATTTGTCATTACCGTCTCTCACACTTTTTAATTCTGGCTAAGCTGTCATCCATCTTTTGTCCCCTTAAAAACAAGGCTATACCATTCAGTGAATATAAACTGAAAGTCAGTGAAACTAAAGGAAAAAAAATATGCTTTTATTTTTAAAGGCAATGAATGTGTTATTTAACCAGATTACTTAATGTAGCCACAGTAAGTTGTGTATTTTCAACCCAATTTCCAAATCGTTGGAAAGCTATATCACATGTAAATGAAACAGAATGCCATGATTTTCAGTTCTCATAAACTCACATTTTATTCACAGTAGAATAGAAAACATATCACGTGTTTAAACTGAGAAACTGTTGTCAACCCCTTTCTTGCGTTTATTACGGTCTTGTGATTATTCAGACTAGACACGATTTCCTTCGTGTCTAGTCTGTTCCTGGTCTCGTCTCTGTCTTGTCATCAGCATCTCTTGTTGTCATCTGTAGCGTTCCCGGTCATATTCCCGTGTCTGTCTGGTCTTTCTGTGTTCTACCTGGTTTCCCTTTCCTTTCATGTTAATTCATTTGTGGTCCAGTCCCAGTGTCAAGTTTATGTGTCTTAGTCTGAGTCTCTGTGTGCGTTACTTCCTATTTTATTTTGATAGTCTCCCATCTCATGTATTATGTTCAGTTTTGCATCCCCTCTCTCATCAGTCTGTGTTTATGTTGCCTGAGTCTGTGTATGTGTGTCCCTGTGTCTTCTGTAAGTTCCGTATTTTCTTGTAGGGTCCCAGTTTCCTTAGTTCTTAGCTCATAGTTTTCTTCTTTGTCTGAGTTTGTGTGTAATTAAGTTTCTAAATTCATCTGCATCTTTCAGTTAATCCTTTTCCCTCTGAGTCCTGCTATTGGGTCCTGCCTGGCCTGCCACACAGTGCATTATAATAAAAACTGTTACAGGGGAAACATAAGGCTGGAAAATCAAGCGGTACAACAAAGAAACAGCTGGAGGAACCATTTTCAACTAATCCACTTGAGTACATATGAAAAAAGAACATCTTAGAGAGGCAGAGTTTCATCAGTCTTCATCTGTAAATATTAGGATAATTTCCTGTAAATGTGAAATTCTGAAGACACTGAATATCTCATCATCTAAAATGCATAATACAAACAAAAGATTCAGGCAATCTGGAGAAATCTCTGTGCGTAAGGGACTTGGCTGAACATCAGTAGTGGACATCTGTGATCTTCCAACCTTATAAACAGGCATGGAAACCACTTCATGGGGTCAGGAACACTTCAAAAAATCACTGTCTGTGCCATGTACAAATGTAGTGTAAAGCTTTGTCATGTAGGAGTATTGGTGGAAAGCCACAATCAATGCTGAAAGATATCTACAGGTTTTAGAGCAATATAAGCTCCCATCCAGAAAACGTCTTTTCAGGGAAGGCCTTGCAGATTTTAGCAAAACAGAGCTAAACTGCATCTATTACAAGAGTATGGCTTTGCAGTAGAAGAGTGCAGGTGCTGATCTGGCCTGGCTGCATCAACTGAAAACATTTGGCGCCTCATGAAATGAAAGGAGGAGGTAGCATCTTATGTCAGAGAAAAATAGCACAATATTCTTCTTTTCTGAAGAAGAAAGAAAAAACTAACACATTTCATCCCCTGATAAGACACAATAACGTAGTGGACCTAATCCTTGATGGGCAGGAGTGGCAACAATGATTAATAAATCAACATTAACAAAAAGTATGATGTCCAGATACAAAGGTGACCAAAGTAATAAGCTAATGTTTTTTTTTCCATAGTGAAATGTCTCAGTTTAAACAGCCAGCTGATTGATTGATGTCTTTCCTATGTTCTATTGTGAATAAAATATGGGTTTGTGAGATTTGCAAATCACTGCAATCATTAAAAAATAATTTATACAGGGAGTGTTGATAGTTTTACACAGCTTAATTTAAAAGCTTCACATTAACTTAATAGTATATGACCCAAACCCTAACTTTAGAGTTAGCATGTTAATTAAAGTAATCAAGGTAATTAAAAGCCAACCTTAGAAATTAGCGTTAATTGTATCCCTTTTAACATGAATCTCTTAAAATCTCCACACAGAACAAATTGATGCTGAGCCCTGGCAGATTCAGAAGGATTTTGATGTTTAGTATATTTTTTCTGAGTGCTGTATAAGACAAATAAATAAACCGAGACATCCAAATAGTTGAAACCCAGAGAACACTTTTTTAAACATTTATCTGTCAGCTTAACCTCTCCTGATCCCCCTTCAGTATCCTCTCCACCTTCTTTCTCATCAAGCCACTGATGAAGTGCTTCAGGAAAAAAAGGACTTTTTAAAGTCTTGCCAAAAGCTTGTTGAGACATAGTAATAGGCCCACTAGACTGGTGATGATGAAAAAGAGAGATCTGCTCACAAGATCTCATTTCAGAGCCAGTGACTGGAATGCTGTAGGCAAAAACTTGATTTGTAAGCATGAACTAACAAAGATCACTAGCACCACCTATAGATAAGCTGTGAGGGTGCACAACTTCAGGCCAATGGAAGTCATGGCAAATCAACATGAAGGGTAAATGTGTATTTAGATACAAAACACAGGTACAGATGTGAGATATAATTTTTTGTGGCTGGTTGTGGTAGTTTGCACATGTGAAGATGCTGTTCACCAGACAGGAGCTAGTTTTACTAGCTTGTACTTACTCCAGGTTTTATGTCTCCCAGGGACACCGGGGCTCAGTACGGTACCATGACAATTGTAAAAATGGCTAATTGTGCCGTATTGAGGTGTGTAAACCATATTATCCCAGTAATAGTCATACTTTTGGACAACTTAATTGGTTTTAGCAATTGTGTTACTGAATCGCCATCAACGTCTACAGCCTAGACAGCGACTCTAGTATTTTTCCCAGTTATGAGTTTGCCTTTAGATTTCTATTAAATAGAATAACAGCTTGTAGTCTAACGTGCTTTGAGTTAGACTACAGTTCCTAGTTAGACTAGGAACTGCTATATAAATGCAAATCCATTTCGATTCCCCAATCCAGGAAAAATCCTGGATTCTTGCATCTTTTCTGTGAGTAATCCATTGATACATGATTTGTATCAAATAACAGGGGGAAAAATGCAAAAAGAAGAAAGAAGAAAAAAATCTGTGTTAGTGTTATTACACAATGAGTCAGTAAAATCCAAGTAGTGCTTGTTATGTTGAGATATATGAGAAGTGGTTCCCCAGAATTTTTTTCAGGGGCTGTTTTAACCAGTGTTCATTGCTATTATGTCGTAAATAATCTCACATACACACTCATGCAATTTTATGTCCCAAAGTAATAAGACAAAACCTAGCAAAGTCGTGACACAGCACCTGAAAGATCCATCTGGCATCTCTACTGTTCACTGAAGCCTCATCAGAAATGTCTCAGTGGAAGGGTGGCTGTCAAGAAGCCATTCTTAGGGAAGGGAAACAGGGAGAAAAGGCTGAGTTATGCCATCAGTGGTATCTTATAGAAAGATGCCTTCAAATCTAAAATTATTGGTTGAAGTTGTTGTCAGTATTTATGTAGGAGGTCATGAGAAAGGTACAACATAGAGTTGCAACAGCTATCTGTAAAACATAGTGGAGGCTTTGGGGCTGCATTTCAGTCAGTGGTGTTGTGGAGAGGTTGTCAAAAATTAATGGAATTATGAATGACACACTGCCAAAACAATGAAAGCATACCTGGATAGAAAAACACACAGTGGAACACTATCGGTCATGGATTAGCCTCCTCAGAGCCCGGACCTTAACATTATTGAACCAGTGGGGGTTCATTTTGACAGAGAACAGAACAAAAGGCAGCCAGTGCCCAAAGAAAAGCCTTGAATGGTCTTTAGGAAGAACAAGAACAAAGACCAAATACCAAATACTGATTTTTCACGTTATTAAAATTGTAAACATTCTGCTTTAGCTAATAAACTGCTGCACTCTTTTCCCATTTTACTAGCAAAATATCAAGAACTGACAGGTACCTGAAAAATTTTGCATAATACTGTATTTTAAATGAACCTCTGCCTTTTGATCCTTTCCCGACACACACAATGACACACACACAAAAAAATCTATTAGTGTAATCATGGCTCTCAATGGAGCTGTTTAAGGTGACTTTGGCGTTCATCCAGCAGATGGCGCAGTTATTCACATAATAAATTTTTATCGATAGAAACGTCAGTTAAAGTTTACTAGGCTGAAGGCAAGAGTGCTGCGTGTTTTCCTTTCATTGTGAGTTCCTATGCTATAAGGAGAAAATTATAATCCCACTTATTTGTAATAGAGTTTAGGTAACTTTTAAGTTGTAAGAGTGTATTGCCAGCTTCAATAATATATCACCACATTATCTGAAGTCCTGAACATCATTGTGGAATAACGACTTTCAACATAGGAAAAAAAATAATTTATTTGACCTGATTTGACAAATAAAGAGATGGAGACATGTTGGCAGAGAACAGCACTGGGGACAGGGCCACCACTCCCTTTTTGTTAGCAGAACAACAACAAGAACAACAACAAAATGCTGTTGCTTCCATTTTCATGGAACTGGTTTAGAGTGAATTAGAGTCTTAAATTGAAAGGCGTGGCAGACAAATACAGGTAGTGCAGCATACAGGTAGGTCATCTTCAGATTTCCTTCCCTCGGTCACAAACATGGTGTAGGATCCACATCCAGAATCCAAGAGCCTCATACCGCAGACCTTACAGGAAAGACACACTTTTAGACAAACAAACTGTGACAACAGTGACTTGTATTACGTATATAAATTCATCACAGCGATACTGTGCAAATAACAACAAATAATACGCATCACTTTTGTCCACTCGAAGCTTTACTAACCGACATATCCTAAGCTCTGTAACTCAACAGCGTGTCGTCATAAATATGGCATTACCATTCAAGCCAAATCCAGTTTCTTCTGTGTTTCTGATAGCTTTTCCTGGAGTCGTTTTTTCCTCCAGTCCAGAAACCTTCTCCTCATTCTGTTCGCCTGCCACCCCGCCAAGAAGCCGGCAGCGAAAGAAACCACAACGGCGACCTGTAGTGTCCTCTCCGAGACGTCTGCCATGTTCACCTCTGTCTGACAGATGCACACATTTGTGGAAGCATGAAAATCTTAATACAGGAAGTGAACTCCTGCGAGTCTTTTTCTTCTTCTTGTGCTGGGTTTACTAGCAATTAGCTAACTGCTCAAGCGTGCCACCTACTGGGCTGAAGTGTGTAGCAGAAGGTTAGCAGACAAGCTAAAGTTGAGAAAATAGCAACTAAGTACCTAAATACCTAATTAACTAAATAAATAAATTCTTTATTAAGACCATTCTTCTTATAAGTGTTGAATACTGACTAAGTGTTTACTACAGTGTTTCTTTTAATTTCTAGATACGTTTTTCAAAATATCATAGACTCGTGGTTACTTTATTAGGCACACCTGTTTAGCTACTCATTAATATAAATTTCTAATTACCCAATCACAGGATAGCAGCTGAATGGATTTAGGTATGTATGCATGGTCAAAACAACATTGTAAAGTAGAAACTGAGCATCAGAATGGGGAAAAAATGGGATTTAAGTGACTTTGAATGTGCTATTGTTGTTGGTCTGAGTATTTTAGACACCGCTACTCTGTTTGGAAAGAAAAAAATATCCAGTGAGTGGCTGTTCTTTGGGTGAAAATGCCTAGTTGATGCCAGAGGTCAGAGAAGAATGGCCAGACTGCTTCAAGCTGTAACTGTGACTCTAATAACCACTCGTCACAACCAAGGTATGCAACTTTTGTAATGTGGTGGAGTATGACATTTGCATCATGGATCTAGAGCCAACAAATCTTGTCATGCTATCATGTCAACATGGAGCAGAATCTTGAGGCAAATTTTCAGCGCCTTATTGAATCTGTGCAATGAACTGTTAAGGCTGTTCCGAAGCTAAAAGCAATAGCAAGATTTACCTAATAAAGTGGCATGTGAATGTAGCAGTCACTTCCTGTGTCGCTGAGGTTTGTGAATTTTTCCCTTTGTGATGCTTTTAGCCTCTGCTATAATTGATTAATCTTTTCTTTTTATAATTGAATCTGTAAATGACCTGTTTGGTTTTCAGTTTTTATCATGTGTTTCTATATCAACAATCAAATCACAGCTTAAATGAACACTTATTAGTAATATAGTAATAATAGTAATATTAGTTATTGAAAGTGCAAAGAAAAAATCTAAAAATTGGAAAGCAATTTGTGGTTGCTTGTTGTAGCTTGTTTTCACAGCGAAAGGTTTTACTAAATACTGATAAGCAGTAACGCGTTACTGCCCATCTCTGTAATCCAATTACTTTTTTCAAGTAACAAGTAAAGTAAGGGATTACTATTGCAAAAACGGTAATTAGATTACCGTTACTTTCCCGTAGGAAAGCTGCGTTACTGCGTTACTAAAGCTGTGAGTTTTTTGTGAGGATGTCTCATGACAGTGACAAGTGCGACGTTGGTGACAACAGCTGTGTGCAGATCAACAATGGATAATATATCAGTGCGGGAGAGAGTATGAGCGTGCAGCGTTTAAAGCGTGGAAGTACTGACCTTACTTTGAGTTTGATTCCATAAAAAGTGCAAGAAACAAAAACTCGCGGATTCTTCAACTGACGCTGCGGCACACCTGCACCAGGGAAACCTCCGCCTACCCACTCCTGCTTTACAGGTGAAAATAGAGCAACAGGACCGCTAGTCTTTGACTTTATTTATTTTCTGCTGTGTTTTACTTGCATCTATTTGAAAGAGTGAGTGTAAACACAAAAAATATTTATTTTATGTGCTGGAATGTGCAGAAAATAGGTTTAAATATTAAACAAATTTCTTCCAGTCAGAGAATGTTGCATATAATTAAATTTTTGCTTGATGCATAAAGTTAAAAGATTAAAACTAATAAAACAAGTTTTAAAAAGAGACTTTTCCATTTGATTACATTTTGTATGATGGATTATGCAGAAAAAGTAGAATTGGGCTGAAAGATCTATCGCTTTATCACCTATTCAGGTTGTAAATCGTGTTTTTAAAAAGTAACTAAGCAATTAATTACTTTTGAAAATAAATAATCAGTAAAGTAACGGGATTACTTTTTGGGGGAAGTAATTAGCTACTGATTACTTTTTTCAAGTAACTTGACCAACACGGCTGATAAGCAATCTGATATTCTAACTGCTCTATGATACTGTGGGATAAAACCTGCAGCACCAGTGCATTCTAGCCTTTGCACCATATGTGAACATGATCATTTGATTTGCAAAGTGCAGTTCTGTCTACTTTGCAATATGTATTATTGCAAAGTGGAAGTATTTAGGAACCACAGCAAGTCAGCCAGACCACGTGGCAGACCACATAAAGTTACAGAGCTGGGTCACCGGGTGCTGAGGTGTGTAAAAGTCATCCACGCTCTGCTGATTCAATAAAAGCAGTTTCAAACCAACTGTGGCATTACTATCAACACAAAACTGTGCACCAAGAACCTCATGACATGGGTTTCCATGGCTGAGTAGCTTCTCTGGATGTATTATAGGTGCCTCACTTCACAGTAGTTCATCCCGTAAATGTACTTTTTGCAAACCTTTGTACATTTATATTTACAATTGGTTTTCCAAAAAGAGAAGAAATTCAATTAAATAAATTCAATTGATAGTATTATTTCTGTCATTGGTAATTTTCTATACATGCTGATATCCCAGAAATATCATATTCTCAGTTCCTTGGCTATGATACATCCTGCTTTGTCTGTTTTACCATACAGCTCCTATTTCAGATAAATAAACACAGTTTTATCTTTCATCCTTTATGTTAACTAACAGCACAAAATCCAGTTAAATAAGAGACAGGATTAAAATAAAGCCAGGTTTATTTAAGTATCAAACAGTAAAGAACATCAAAATTCAATTAACATAGGTCACTAACTCAAAAATTGACAACATCCAGAGATTCTTAAATTTGTTGAAATAGCTCATGTGCTAAATGTTTGTGTTCATTTCTTGCATGTCTTTAAAATCAAGTTTGATAAAGTGAAACTGTTTTTTTTTAATCATAAAAGATACTAATCAGTCTGTGTTGTACAAACAAAGCATTTAAGCATTGAAAAAAAACAAAATTAAAGTAAGTAACAAGTACTATACACATTAAAAAAGGCATTGTTTAACCAAGTTTGACAAATACTGTGTATGACTACCTTTTGTACAATGTCACACAAGAAAACTGAATTTGGTGGCTGCATAGCCCTGATTCTGACATGGCAATGTTTAAAAGAAACCAAAAAAAAAACCCAAATGTTAATGCTCGAGACATTTTACATACAGCAGTTTCCCTTTTTAACAGTTAAGGGATGAAATCCTGCTCCATTCTAAATGACTGAAGAGGTAACGTATGAGAAGAATGTAACCTGAAGGAAGTCACAGAGGTGAAGTTTGCGAGTAGATATGTTGTAAAATGTAGTGATTGTAGTGGTAGTATCTGTTTCGGTGAGCACCCAGTTGTACGAGGTTTATTAAATTCGCTTTGTCTCATGCTACATTGCAACCTCAGTGGAAAAAAGAAGTCATATTTCCTTCCTGTCATTATGAGCACTGTGTGATTACAGACATCTACGACTGGTAAAAAATCTTGGTCGCTTCACTCGAGCTCCGGTGTGGTTTGTGGTCAGAATCTTCACGTTAACAAATCACTTCTTTCTTTATTTCTTTATTTTTTAAAACTTTTTCCAAATATGAGCTCTATCACTCCTTTCTCATGAAGTTTTACACATTCCAGTATTATAAATGTACACTTTGCATTGTCAAGTCTTTGGCACATAAACCATTTGCTTGGCCAACAAGTGTGCACTTAAAGTTCAGAGATGTTTGAGAACTGTGCTCTCAAAATGGCTCAGTAACAGCGCTGTTTTGTTCTAGATTATCTTGCAACAGACTTCCAAATCAACTTAATGAACAGTTTGAGTTATTAATTACAAGTCATGTCACCAACTTTAACCTGGATAAACGTGACCAAGTGAGGATAAAATGGACTATCTTAAAAGTCCAGCAGCAAGACTTTGTAAAGTTTAAATGTGTTACTGAGGTAAAGCACCCTAGAAGTTTATAATGATATAATACAGTATCCAGTGATTATGATCTGCACAAATTAACAATGCCCAAGCTCAAAAATTATTATTACAGGTCGTACTTCAATATACCGTAGCTGCCATCTGTTTGGCGACAAACTATTTACAATCTATAGCAGTTCAGGTACAAAGTAAAGAGAGACAAAAGTAAAATAACTGTTTGAGCTCTTAAATGTCCTAACATGTACAGTCACAGTGTCCAATCTGTGGACAAAGAGTGGTGTAAATGTAGTAAAAGCCAGCATATATTTGGATCAGACGTTCGTGATGTATTGCTGATGACTTAGAAAGGTTTCGGGAATCGGCACCGACTCGTTGCTCTTAAAAATTAACGAGGCGATCGAGGACTCGGCTCACAACCGGCTCTGCTTGAGCCTGTCGATGTGGTAGCAGAGTTTGAGCGCTGGTCCCAGCTTCAATCCCAGGTACTTCATCATCATCTCGCTTTTCAGAAGAAGTAGGGCGTCCCCATCTATTTCCTGGAATATAGCAAGATATAGTTGTAAAGCAACAGAAAAAAAGGGTTACTTTAAATATTCCACTCAAGTGCTGGGTGAGAAATGGAGGCAGCACAGTGACTTATTTAAAAGGCTCGGGGACAAACCTTCGTGCGCTTTAAAAATTCTTTAATAATATTCATGCAGTTTCCATTTCAGCTCATTTACATTCAGGACCACAGGGCACTGGGTGACAGATAATTTGAGCTACAGCTGTCATATAAGAGATTTTTAAATAGAAAGCATACCCTGCTTCTTGTAAGCTGTGCCCCAGTACATGTTGGGAAATGAGCTCAGTTCCAGTACATTTAGTATTTAAGTTACACGGCATTAGGCGGGTCGGACTTACATGCTTCCTGAATGCTTCCGCATGGGGTCCCAGAGCTTGGGGATCAGCATCTTTAATGAACCAAACCACATCCTCCACACCCCAGCTGGAAGGGTCCTTACCAACAGGACGCTTGCACTCTCCAGCTTCTGACATCGGGCTGTAGGCTAGATAGCAAAAGAGGACAGGCAGGGTGAATTTTTATTCTAAAAA